GCAGAATTGTGTCGATGTCCCAATATTTCTGGACCTGACTGTACATGATTGGGGAAGGAGGTTCTAAACCCATTTCCCTCCAAATGAATCATCTCTGTGTCTGCTCACATTTCCACCAGAATCCCAGTTGGTATTTGATGTTCCTCCAGGCATTGCCTCTTTATCTTAACAGGCCCTGTTCCAAGTTGTCTTTTCCCCATCTTCTCCAGATGCAAATCCCAAACATAAAGGCATTAAAACAAGCTTTTGTATAAAGCCATAAATGTGTAAAGGCTATCAAAGTGTTACATACATTTGTGTGTGTAATTCAAATTCTATAACTTACTGTTTAGGTTTGAATGCCTGGAGAAAAATAATAAGATTTAGAAAAAATAAAATTAGGTTTCCCCAGGACCCTTCTGTTTACATTCACAAGATTTATTAATAAAGGTGGGACAATCTTTTCTGCCCGTGTTTTTTGGGGTTTGTCCTTTCTAAATATGGGTTAGCTGGACCATAGTTTGATGTCACAGGACCAGTAAGTGAAGAGTCCTGGGCATGCGATCTTCCTGTCCCCCCTTCCTCTCACATAATGGTCTGTCCGCTCAACTGCCAACCTAGGTTTTCATATCATGCTAACCTATAACATGGTCTGCTTGATTTTGACTTAATGTCTTGTCTGAAACCAACCCTTGTAGGTTTTAAATGCTAGTATATGGTTTAGCATGTTGTCTGCACTTGGACAAAGTTTGCTTGAACAAACATAGTGCTAAACCATTAATTTTTAGCCATGGTTTGGCTGAGCCATAGAGGCTGGGGTCATGCTGACCCATAAGCCATGGTTTAGGAACCGGAGTGGTCACCGTAAGCCAAAAAAGAAACATATTATGGCTTTCATATCTGTCTCCCTCCACTTGGATGTTTTGGACATCAGCTCTCATAATTCCCAGTTTTCATGGATGATAGGATTTGATGTCCAATATATCCAGAAATCATGGAAAAAATCTATCTATATGGTCACTAGGAGTTGAAAATGACTTGATGGCCCACAGTCCCTCAATATCCAGAAGCTTCCAAGTTGAGCAAAGCAGACTAAGCATAGATCCAGATCTGTGGTTGCAAAGATGTAAAAAAGCCACGGAGCTGAAAACCTCCTGGGATCTGCATGTTAAATTACAACTGTTTATCCTTGCTTGCCATCAGCTGGTTGTAACTCTGCTTTCTGGTTTCCAACGGCCTCAGGGCCTGTTGTCTAGAATCTCGGATCTCTTGCTGTGCAGATGGACATGTCGGAATTGTTGTCAGAAATGTTACGAGTGCAGCTGTTGCCAGTCCAATGAAGATGAAGTGGAGATCCTGGGGCCTTTTCCAGCACAAACCCCTCCCTGGTTGTAAGTTTGGAAGCGTTCTGGAGGGCCGCATTTATCTGAAGGATAGCTTCTTGAATCTTCTGGCGTTGGTGATCAGATGGGAAATTTCTCCTCCCCCTGGACAGCTTGTTTTCTTTTTCTTCCCCGCGGTTTGTGCTTTACGGAATGAATTGTGCTAATACTGTGAACGATGTAACGCCGCACAAGAAAGACTTACAAATATTGGCTTTGTCTTTCAAGATTATACAAATATTGACTGAATTATAATGGGTGGGCACCTTTTTCAGGCAAAGGACCAGACTAGGGTTTTGAGGGACCAGAGGGAGCCTGTGCTCCTTTATTTTCTCGTGGTTCTAGAAAGGCTGAAATTAACATTTGTCTCATTTCCCTTGACATTTAATTACATTCAGTTGAAGCTAGTATGATTATTCTCCAGTCATGTGGTTAAATATTGCAATTTGGGACAAGGTTTTGAGGGCTCTGAAGGCCACGTCAAGGCTTTGAGGGCTCTATGCAGCTCCAGGATTTGAGGTTATGCTCCTCCACTTTATAATCTCCATTTCTTCCATTCATCGATTTCTCTTGCAAATTTCCTAAGAGACGTGGTTGCCAGAGAAAGAACTTTGAGAAGAGCTTTTTAGAACAGGATTTTCCCCACTGTTGGCTACAATAAAATAATCAGGCACTGAACTTTTTTTACCCATGGAAACTTTCAAGTGATAGGGTCCGTTTCGAGTCTGAGCTTGCACAATCCATCTCTGATGTTCAGAAGAGTTTATAGCTTCACGTTGCCCCTTGATGAGAAGTGGTCTGCCCCATTAGCTAATTGTGGTGGCTTCAGTTCCCTGATAAAAACCAAATTTATCTTTGAGTGCTCAATTAACATGAACACTCTCTGTGCAATTGTGCCGAATCAGGACATTATAAATGCTTGAAACCAGCTAGCACACCATGCGTATTCTAAAGTCCTTTTAGAAATACTACATAATCCCCCACCCAAAAATTAACTCAGGTCAAGCTGGGGTACTTACAAGGAAAAGTCATATTGTGCTGAATGCTAGAAAAACTGCACTGTTTTACTACACATACTGATTGGGTTCTCAGGCAGCATCCTAAACTACAGTTTTGGTTAACAGTGGTTTGTTGAAATAAGCCAAGGTATGCTAGTTTATGCTTTGCACTAGACTATAACCATGGTTTACAACTACAATGGTGGGGTTCCTTTTAGCAAAAATCAAAATGCACTATGGCCTAGGGATGAACATTGGGATTCACTCAAGAAGCCATAGTTAAAATAAACCATGGCTTAGCCCAGGAAGTGAATTCATTCCATGAAATAAACCCCCGGCCTTTCCTCTGTGTTATGCTTGAACTTCCAGCAATCTATTTTTTAATAGCTTTGTGCTGTTCACAAGCAGGGTATCCTTCCTTTATAAATATATATTTGGAGCCAGAGTCAGATTGGAGCTGTTAAGCATAATTTCAGGTCAGAGAAGAAGAGCACTGTGCTTTTTAAATTATTGTACCATATGAGGGCTGACAAACTTGTCTGTCTCATAGTAGCAAATCCAATTATGCTGACTTAACACGTATGGTAGGGACCCCTTTCTTTATTCCCTCTTTAATATGTGCTTTCACACCACCTTTTTTTCTGGTTGCTTTTATTTCTTTGGGGAAAGAGCTGTGGGGGCTCTGAGGTGTTGTAGATCATAAGATAAATGACATACCCATTATTATTATTTTTTAAAAGAAGAAATGCCTTGTATTCTGTGAGATGAAACTGGAAGCGGAGCTCTATTCTTCTTCTCCGCGGTTGCCCTTGTTAAGCAAAGCCAGCAGCTTTTCGAAAGGGATCAGAGATGTTGAAAAGACTTGCAAATTAGCAGCAGCAGTTGCTTGGTAGAAGGGGGGAAAAAGCATTTGCTGTTTGGCTTGCCTTCTGTTTGCCATTAGTTTTTTCCCCCCCTAATTCTTCTTTGAAATCTTTCCTTTTTTAGCTTTCTCCTTTTCAGACTTGTATATCTTCTTAGCATGGGGTGGCCACATTAAGCCTAAAGAGTGTTGCGAGTCTGGCCAGAGAGACTGTATGTGGTGTCTGCTCCTTTCCTAAACGTGTTAGTGGTCATGCTTGCAAATAGGGCTGAGGTGTGGATAAAAACCCCTGGGGTCCAGAAAGTGTCAACGCAGTCAGGGCTCTTCCACTAGGTGTTCTTGGGGAAAGTCATTGGCGTGGTGTTGTCTTCTCAAATTCCAGGGATGAAGGTTCCCTCAATGTAATTTGCAATTTTCCCTTCTCTTTGCCTTGCCTACGGTCCGAGCAAAAAGATTCAGGTGGAAAAGACAGATGAACATTCTACTGACATGTGATATTGTCTAGGGCAGCGTTTCTCAACCTTGGCAAATTTAAGATGTGTGGACTCCAACTCCCAGAATTCCCCAGCTAGCATGCTGGGGAATTTTAAGGGGCGTGGACTTCAACTCATACCTTAAAGTTCCCCAGCATGTTGGCTGGGGAATTCTGGGAGTTGAATTCCACGTATCTTAAAGTTGCCAAGGTTGAGAAATAGTGGTCTAGGGTCTATTGTCTCATCATCTACTGTCTCTCATGTATTTTTTGCTCTCCATCCATAATCTATCATCAATGCGTTCATGAGGTCAAAAAAAGGTTTGAATTTTCCCCCAAAGTCCAGGCACTTTCTTGCTCATAGGGAAAAGTACTGGTGAAGAAAATGAGGGATGAAGATCTTCCCTGGATGATTCCAAGAGTTGTTCTTTCCAACAGGATAAGCAATCGAAGTGATGACAAAGATGGCAACTCAGATAACCCAACGAGTGAACCACCACCAACCCCTCAGGATGTTTCACTGGACAGAAGACGGTTGTCCACTGATACCTCCCATTCCACTTATAGCCTTACAAGACGAATTTCTAGTAAGTTGGCTCTTGCTCAGAATGATTGGCCAACACTTGAATGCCATGATGGCTGACAGGATTGGTGGAGCTTGATGGAAGTCGAGGAGGAGCTTAACTATCCTGATAGATCAGGGTCTCTTTAAGAACCTGGCTGTGTTTCCAGCACACATTTAACCAGGACAGGTGAAAACCCAAAGGATAGGCAGTGCCACAGCTAGCTCAGTTTGACTTGGGCGAACTTGGGTTTGATTTTTATGGTCTTGTGTCATATGAATCCAGCCCACTTATCATTCAATGAGTTATGCAAATATAGATAATTCAATAACCAGATTAAATACGTTGTGTGAACACAGACTTAGAAGCTTGAGAAATGAATGTACTCTGCAATCTCTCCTCCATGTTCTTCTCACTTTCTCCCATGACTGTCCGTGTTTTATTAAATCACACTTTCTCTCTCACACACACAGAGATACACGCACAAACATACATACATAAACACACAGATTCTGGAAGAAAAAATATTTATATACATTCTGGAAGAAAAAAAAAATACATTCTTCCCCTTCTTTATCAGGCCAACAAAACTACATGGATGTGTCCCGGCAATTCCCCAGGAGTTCAACTCAACCCTAGAGCATCTTTCTCTTTTTAAAGCTGCACACTTTGCGCCATTTTTTGACCGTGGTTCTTCATTCCTCTCATACAGGTCTAGAGTTGAGGAGGCCAAGTTCTCCACTCGTTGATATTAAGCCCATTGAGTTTGGAATTCTAGGCTCCAAAAAGGAAATTGTCCAGCCAAGCATCCTGAGGAAAACTTACACCCCAGATGACTATTTTAGGAAATTTGAGCCAAGACTGTATTCCCTTGACTCAAATAGTGATGACATGGATTCCTTGACCGATGAGGAGATCTTAGCCAAGTACCAGCTGGGGATGCTGCATTTTAGCACTCAGTATGATCTCTTGCACAACTATCTCATTGTTCGGGTCATTGAGGCCAAGGACCTGCCTCTCCCCATCTCCTATGATGGCTCCAGGCAAGATATGGCCCATTCAAATCCGTATGTGAAGATCTGTCTCCTTCCAGACCAGAAGAACTCCAAGCAGACAGGAGTCAAACGCAAAACCCAAAACCCCGTCTTTGAAGAGAGATATATGTTTGATATCCCATTTTTGGAAGCCCAGAGAAGGACTCTGCTCTTGACAATTGTGGATTTTGACAAATTTTCACGCCATTGTGTCATTGGGAAAGCGTCCATGCCGTTGAGTGATGTGGACCTTGTGAAGGGTGGCCATTGGTGGAAAGCTCTGGTTCCAAGTTCTCAGGTAATTTGTGGTTTCCATGTGTTGTTTTCAGTTGCTTTGTTTTGATTTAATGTCTCAGTTGCAATGATATTTCTTATGTCTTTTTGGCCTCAAGTTGTTTACACTTTCTCCTCCCGACTCTAGTTGGGGTCATATATTGCATTAAACTATAATCTAGTTGGTTGGATCGGGCTTAGCGTGATGTGTGAGTTCAGCTACTGTGATTGTAAATCATGGCGTGGTGTCTTGTGTGAACCCAACTATTTGTGATTCATTCAAATGACAGGGGAACCAGGAAAGCAACTACACAGTGATTTGATCACCTCTTGGTTGTTGACGTGCACAGTAGAAGACATATGACTTCACTGTGGTCTTGATACCCTCAAATGTTCTTCTTAGAACATCAGCATAGCTCCATCTCTGTAGCCAGGTTCATGCATGCAGAAAACCATGCCTTTTTTTAAAGCTGTGCATTTTAAACCAGTCATAGTAATCATTGCAACAATCTGATTAACAGCCATGGTTGAGCAGCCAAATGGGTTGGGTCCACACAAAAGCAAACAGATTGCAATAGCCTTATATGCCTTAGAGTACTTTAGGCTCATAGGGTGGCTACGCCAATCTGAATCAAGAATGAGAACTCTTAACAACCTCTCACAAATGTTTACTGTCTGTCCTCACTGTTGGTTGCATTATTCGAGGTATTGTTAAATGATAATGGCGTTTCATCAGTGTCAAAATTCAACTTGTTTCACTTGCTTGAGTCAGCTAAATCCCACCGCCATCCTTATTTTCTCAAATCCATTTGCATGCTGGCATCAGGGTTTACCTGTTTTCAGGAATGGCAGGAGAGCTTTTGATGGCGATGCTGATGGCCACCATGTTTTCCCCAGGATCACCTTCTTCTGGGGCATTGTGGGGAATTCAGATAGCATCCCCAAGCTAATGGCTCCCATCCTTCAATTTCCTGAGGGAGCCATATATACTGTAAGGTTGGAGGCACTTCAGGGACCAGGAAGAAAGAATGCTGAAGTGAGTTCTACAACTGATGCCCCCCCAAAACTATTATGCTTTCAAAGAGCAACATGTCCAAACCAAATGCAAAGAGAGATTTGAGGGATCCATAATGAAACAAGGGAGTATTTTCATAACAAAATACAGCAGAAAAAAAGATCATGGGTTTTTTCATTTTTTTCCCTAACAACATCCCGTTGGTGTTGAGGAAGGTCTGCTCCCTTTTGCACGATATAACAGTGTAAAAATGTTGTCGGTGGTGGTTGGGTTTTTGGGCTTTGGTTTTGCTTCCTTCCCCCGTCAGTCCCAGGCAATTTCAGAGATGCATGTAGCTTGCATTGACACTGCAAGAATCATTTTTACAGTATTTGATTCATCTGGCCCTTTTCTGTTGCAGAATGAAGTTGAACTGGGAGAACTCTTGCTCTCCTTAAACTACCTTCCCAGTGCGGGAAGACTGAACGTCGACATTATTAGAGCAAAACAGTTACTTCAGACTGATATGAGCCAAGGTTCAGGTAGGGTGTGTGTGTGTGTGTGTGTGTGTGTGTGTGTGTGTCGTTCTTCAATGTTATCAGGCTTGGAGCATGTGGACCAACATTGTCAAACATTTTTCCCAGCACATATATATAAAACACTGGTTATAGTCTTTTCCCCCTACTATTATTACTGAGAGCCAGTTTGGTGTCATGGTTAAGGCACCTGGCTAGAAATCAGACCATCCATTCTAGTCCTGCCTTGGGCATGAAACCAGCTGGGTGACCTTGAGCCTGTCTCAGCCCTAGGAAGAAGGCCAGGGCAAGCCACTTCCAAAAATCTTGCCAAGAAAACTGCAGGGACTTGTCCAGGCAGTCATCAGGAGTCAAGACCGACTCAAAAGCATATCCATCCATCCATCCATCCATCCATCCATCTCATTATTATTATTATCCTACAGTTTTGATTTTGATGATGTTTACCATGGATTTTCTGTATATTTTATTGGATTGCTATAAACCACTGTGAGTCTTTTTGATTTGGAGGTATGCACATAGAATAAAGAGACTAAATAATAAACAAATATTGACCGCTGTCCACCCATCTTGGAGACCTCAAAAAACAATTTTGGCATGACATTTGCTCTTCCCCTTCCTGATCCCCATCATGCTCCTGTAGCTTCCATTCCCAGTTCCTGCCTTCCCTCCAAGGTAATGGGTTGCCAAGCCTAACTGATTTTTCCAACTTTGAATCTACCCTTTCAACATTATTGGAATAAAGGAGAAAGCACTATTTTAACACCAGCAGAGCTAAGGATAATTTCAGTCTGTCTCACACCTGGGCTGTGGAAGAGATGACAACAACGTAAAGAAAAGAGGTTTGGGTTTGGTTAGAGGGAACATGGCCTAGATCTCTCTAGTGGATGAACTGTATTGGAGGAGAAATGGAGGACAAGTGACTTAATTAGTTCTTCTGGGTCTCTCAGTTCTCCATGACTTTCATCCTGAAAGGGCTCCATCAGGTGGACATTAGGGTTAGGATGAGTCAGCTCTGGAGGAGTAGAATCCTTCTGCTCCATTCCAGGCTTCAGTGCACCACATTGCCTTCTTGGTGCCTTGTTCTCAAGGTTGAGTTGGCACAGTGGACATGTCTACTCGAGACAGCCTCCTTGACTATTTCCTTCAGCCACAAAATTATTTCCTGCTCAGTCCTTTCCCCTGAAGCGCGCTTGTTTTCTCCCAAAGAGAGCAAGGCATTCATCTCTCCCTTCCCAAGGTCTGCTCGAAAGGAAACAGCACATTTTGACCTCTAGTGCTCAACAATAGCTGTGGCTCATTTGTCATTTCAAAAATTGAAACAGCGGGGCATCTTCCCAATCCCCATTTCTCAGAAGATCCTTCTCTTTCTGAAAACAGGTCTAGGCTGTTTCTTTTCCCCTCCCTTCAGGAAAAAAAGGCCCCTTGGCAGATCTTTCTCTGCATATTTTCCATTTCTTTTGCTGTGGACAAGGGACAGTCACCATTGTCTCCATTGGGACAGAAAAGGAATGGCTAGGTTGCCAATGGCCATGAAAAAAAACCCCCAGCATTTTCAGTCATAAGGAATTTTTCTGCCATTGGAGATGAGAAGTTCTGACCTTGAACAAGATGTGCGGTTTTTTCTCCCTCTGTTGCTTAAAAGCCTGCATTACTATCATTATGTTTAATTTTTATTATAGGGTATATTGAACAAAGATGAAAATAATATAACGATAATAACATAATCAGAAAAATATATAATGATTAAAATGGGGAGAGAGAGAAAAAAGTATATATATAGTATATTAATATAGATCTAACTCAACCTTTTAACATATAATTAAATCTAGATTATAAACCTAGGAATGTTGTGCTCCATTTTCTCATTTGTACAATCTTAAAAACCTTTTAAAAATGGATAAAGAACACATCTCTTGAATTCACTCTTTAACATCTGGCGTGTCGATTTCTTTCCACCTACATAGGATAATTCTCTAGACACAGCCAGAGTTGTTCATAAAATGTCAAGTTCCATACTTTTGGAATATAACTCAGCATCACTTTTACAGCTTTAACTGTTATGTTTTCCCCCAAGGTTCTATAACATATGTTATGGCTTGAAACCAAAAAATAGCTGTAAAGGAACAGACCAAATCATGTGAGTCAGGAAGCCTTCAGATTTCTTATAGCACCAACACAAAAAAACGATATCCATCCTTTTATACAGTCTTTGAAGAGACCAATAAAATGGAACAAGATTCCCGGGGAATCAACTTCATCCCTACGTCATAAGAAATATGTTTAACATTTCTTAAAACTTGACCCATACCCTTGAGAAACAGTTGGATGTTGCTTTCCCCCCAAGGAACTCTCTCAAAAATCCCCAGCGTTTTCCTTTCCACAGATAGATTAGAGTTTTTCAAGTGGTTGTTTGTACACAGCTCTTGCAAACCTTTGTGTGAAAAGCAAAAAAACCCACAACCCTTCTATACATTCCTTCTTCAACCTTGGGCTTTCCAGCTTTGTGGGATGGTACATCCCAGACTGGCTAGGTATTCTGTGAAGAGTAGTCCAATAGACCTGGAGCATTCCATGTTGGAGAAGACTTACAACTCATCCTAGAGGATGATGGAGAAGTTGAGGAGAAGTTCTTCAATCTAGATCTATCTTCAGGTATTGCTCTGAAGCTGGATTGGGAAAACTAGATCTCTCCAAGTCTTCTTGGTCATGAACACCCATTCCAAACAGTGTAGCTGGAGATCAAGGATGATAAGAGTTATAGTCCAGAACAATGACCAGTTAAACAATGTTGCCTAGATTCATACATTGTGCTAAGGCCTAATGTGGCTTGTATGTCAGTTTAGTGCGATATTTGAATAGAAGGTAATGAGTAAACCATGATTGGCTTTAGGATGATAATGCACCTCTTAAAGCCATGATTTCTTATTGGTTTTCTGTTTGGAATTGTGGCTTAGCATGACATGTGAGCGGAGCACATATTTTGTAGTTTCCTGGTTTGTTTTAATTTTGTGCATCTAAGCCTTTCAGCAAATTATAATGATGCAAAGTGAAAACAGCTAAAAAAGAGGATAAAAAACCAGGAACTAGCCAAGCAAGCCATGACTGTTCATCTGCAAAATTCACTCTGACTGATTTTGGCTTGTTCAATGAACTGTGGTTAAAACAATGCATGGCTTAATCTGATGCATGAATGGAACTATTCACTTGCAAAGCTGGAATTGTTTGTGTTTTCTATTCAGATCCTTTTGTGAAGATCCAGCTTGTTCATGGGTTGAAATTGGCAAAAACAAAGAAGACTTCTTGCATGAAGGCCACCATTGACCCCTTCTACAATGAGTCCTTCAGCTTCAAGGTTGCACAAGAAGAACTTGAAAATACTAGCCTGGTTTTCACAGGTAGGTTACCAGGGTCTTTCCAGTGTGTTTTTCTTGTAAAGCAATTAAGGAGATTGGAGGTGACTGAATTTCAGTGCCTTTCAATCAGCAGATCAATTAAATATGCAGATATTGGCATATAATAAAAAGCAGGCTCCAAGATTGATTTTTAGATAGCACATGGAGTAATCAAGAGGAAATGGCTCTTTTTAGAAGATACTTCTAAACGATGCATCGTTGTAAAGAAATCTGTTCCCAGATGAATTGGGAGGATCTTTTCATTTCAAGAATCCAACCATTATTGCCCTAGTTTTTTGTGGGTGGGTGCTACTGTGGTGGGGAGCCCAAAAGGAAGCCACAAATGAGTCCAGCCAGGCACACAGGCTTGCTCTGGGCACAGGTGTCTTTATCTCCAATGAACCTTAAGCAACTTCCCTCCCTGCCTCCAAGCACAGCAGCATCCCAAGGATTCTTGGTGATGCTGTGTTAGCTACAGAAATTCAGAGTATTGCAGAAATTCTCCTTAGTAATGCAGGAACGCAGGTGCAGGGAGCTATGGATGAGGGCTAATTGTTTCCTGAATGTTGGAAACATAAGACAGTGGATTTAACTGCTCCTCACCATTTATGGAAGAGGACTTAGGAATAAGCCTTATATTTGCATTTGAAGCCGGCCAGAAAGTGGGGTGGTTCTCTGGCAAGCCGAGTTGGTGGCCTCTTGCCTTTCAGTACAAATACTGCCCCTTAGGTTGAAAGAGATTAATTCAATCTTTAAACTTAGGTGGTAATTGCTAACCAAGCTATGGAGCAGGGCTGGCTTTTAGTTTTGGTTTTATTGGTGAAAACACCAAAGCTTGCCTTCTGTTTCTAACTTGCCTTCCAACTTCCAAGTTCTGAAGTTTTTACTTCCACCCTGGTGAATTATGGACATTCCTGTAAATTTTGGTTGTTTTCCAGTATCATTCCAACGGATGATCAAGTCATACTTCTACGTTTGTCTTGGCTGTGGAAAGACACACAAGCTTTTTCGATTTGGGGGATGTAGATGAGTTTTAGATCACAAGCATGGGCTGGCAATTCCTGTAGGCAAACAAGGAATTATTAAAGTCCCGTGAAAACCTTCTGAAAAGAAGACCTTTAGGAAGAGATGTTAGGTAGCTGGTGGGCCAATATCCCAGCACCATTAGAGCAAAGTGGGGGATGTTTTAATAAGGAATAGGTATTACAAAGGCAACAACTGGATTAAAAAAAATCAAGAGCTTGACATTATCCACATTCAAAGAGCTTTACATGTGCTCCAGATGTGTCAATAGAAAAGTTTCTAGCTGATCATGGAAAGGAAGCATGATTGTCCCTGGGCAAACCTTTCTGAGAACAGAATAAAAAGTTTGGTGCTGCAACAGAAGAGGCCTAATTTTTATGACAGATAAAGCAGATGTCTGTTTACCTAGTCCTGCTGTGTGTCTCTGTTTAGATCTACGTTCATGTAAGATGAAAAAAACGTGAGTACATGCTACACAGAAGAAGCTAATCTAACAATGAGAAGAAACACACATTATTTTTTTCTGGTCCACAGATTCTGAAATATGGGTGTGTGTACATGTGTGTGCATTTTTATGCACGCAGGTTTCTGATTCGGCAACTGCACCACTGACTACAGCCACAGAACCACACACCATTCTAGGGTTCTCAAAATTGTATGTTATTTTCACCGAATTACCCTGCAGTATTCTAGCAATGCATCAGGTTGAAAAACTGTTACTCAGGTGAACAAAATATCTGGTTTTTTTCCCCCTTGACCAAAATGACTTATTTCTTCACTCTTTGGGGTTAATGTACAAATGACACATAGTTAAATTGGAATTGAATTTGGAGAGGTTCATGGAGCATCAGGCTATCAGTGGCTTTAACTCAAGCTTAAATCAGAACATCTTCCAACTTCTCCAGCTGCTGAAACTGCACTTCCCATGATTCCCAGCTAGCATGATTGAAGACAAGGGAGTCCCAAAAGGGGAAAAATCTGATCCCAGGATTCTCCTAGAGTTCTGATTTAGTTTAGGAGTTTTCTCATTGTTCTTTGTTTCCTTCCAAGGAGCAGATAGATTCAGAACTGACAGAAGGAAATCCGCTTGTGCATAGCGCATAGTTAAACTGTAGAATTCCTTGCCAGCAGTTGTAGTCATATGGCAGCCAATTGGATGGTTTGTAGATGGGCCTGGCCAGATTCTTGGAGACTCTGGTGATCAGTAGCTCTTATTTTGATGGTTGCTTCCTGCCTCTTGAAACAGAAGGCGCTCAGTGTTGGTGCTGCAAAAAGATGATGGAAGCAGACAGTCCAGGCCATGAGCTTCTCAAATACATCCATTGGCCATTGTGGGGCCCACGTTTTGGTTAGATGGGCTGATGGCCTCATCCAACAGGGCTCTTATGGTCAGTGCCTGTGTTCACACATAAGGCTAAGCCAGGGTTGGATCTTTTAAACCATGACTAGTAAAATTGAGGTAGAATGAATTTCCCTGATTCTCTTTGTAGAGAGACAGAGATGAAAGCTGAGCTAACCCCTGCTGTTTTGGCCTTTCACCAGTGGAGATCTAATCCTTTCCCTTTTATTGCTCATAAAATAGGAACAAAAAAAAATGGGTTCTGTCTGACACCTCATTTTGCCACCTTGAGCTCCACATTGTCCTACTTGGAGAATGTTCTTTGTTGAAGGAAGATGTTGTGGAGTAACCTTTTCAGCTGGGATATAGGCTGTTGGACTGCTGCGTTAATAATCCCATGTGATTTTTTTCGAGAAAGCTTTTCCACGAATATGGCCAAACGATGAATGCTTTCTTGTAACTGTAGCATGCAGCCTCCACCGCGCCTGGTTCCTTTCTGGAGATCAGAAACGCTGATAATTATTGCAGGCATGAGTCATCCCGTGGCAGCATTTGGGAAATGAAGGATGGTCAAAATAGCATTTGCTGTTTAAAAAATAAAACAGCGATGCTGTTCCAGATCTCTTCCACCATGTATTTCTTTTGCATTTATAAGAGGATAGCCGTTGGTTTTATTTTGCGTCACGTCTCTGCGGTTTGGGCATAGGTACGGCTTCTCTGGGTCAGCTGCCCTAGCCTTGAAAGTTGAAAATCAATGCACCTTCGAAGAAGGCGAGAAGCTGGCTGCATTGACTAAGCAATTATTTAATTATGCTTTATTGAATGAACAAGCCTTGATTGTGTTGGCACAGCAGGTGAAGCCATAAATCAAGATTTGCAAACATCTCCTCTGGGCTCAGGCAACAATCATGTTGAAGTTCAGGCCGTGTACTAAGCCAAAACTAAACCAGCCACATGATAGTTCAGCATGGGTTCAACATCATGGTTTGTAGAGCTGTCGTTTCAAGCACCGCTGGCTGGGTTTGCCCCTCATTCTAAGCTTAAAGCATGGTTAGAAACCATAGGGTCTGGATTTAGACGTTGTGTGTCTAAGCCGGCTGTAAATGCACAACAGGTTCCTAAACTGATGGGCAAAAAATGAGGATGGGAGAATCCATTTTGTGATGATTGAGTGTTTTTTTCTGTGGGTGGGCTTTCTGCCCCATTTCAGCCCCTCTAACAGCTTTTAGTCTCCCCCCAGATATGGATAGTGAACTCCTTCTGCCAGTGTGGATCCTCAAACGGCCCAAATGATGCATCCAGACACAAATGGGCTTGAAAAAGGCACTAGATGGAATACACACACGCACACAGACACCCCCCCCCCCCCCCGCCTTTCAGTGATGACTGTACATGTTTTGTGACCGTGGGATGCTGACTCTCACTGCGGGGGGAAAAGAAGAGGTGAACAGGATAACGTATTGCAGAAAGGAGATGGCTTGCTTGCTGTATGTTGGTGAAAGATTCTCTGATTTCCTTCGCTCAGCCCACGGCCCTTAATGTATACCTTTTTAACAAGTTTGAAGGAAATGCTTTCTCTAAAAAGGATCCACCCTGCGCTGTCTTTTTGTTAAAGGCTTTTCTGATGTCGGATTTCAATTACCGTCCAGTTGATCCGGAGGTTCTGGTCTTCAAAAGTTATTTCTCTCTTGCCCAGGACTTCTATTCTGCAACTTTCCTGCCGAGTTCGGACTGCTTTTGCGTTGTGTTGTCAGCTTTTAGCCGTCTTTCTCTCTCTTCCCACTACCCCCCCACCTTTGTTTTTCCTTCAGTCTATGGCCACAATGTGAAAAGCAGCAATGACTTCATTGGGAGAATTGTGATCGGCCAGTATTCAACGGGCTCCCCGGAATCGAAACACTGGCGACGGATGCTCACGTCTCACCGCACCGCCATTGAGCAATGGCACAGCCTCCGCTCGCGAGCCGAGTGCGACCGCGTCTCGCCGGCTTCCCTGGAGGTGACGTGAGCCATCAACCCCTCTCCAGATGCCTGTCAGACCAGTTCCCTACATACACACCGTCCAAGTTCATTGCCTTTGGATTGACCATCAACAACCCTTGGCAGCTAAATGTTTGCCATGGATCACTGAGTTTCGGTCATCTTCAAGTCCCACCTCCCACTTTTAGTTTTCTCAGGTTCACTAACCACAAACCATGGAAGAGTTTGCCTTTGTGGATGCATCCCTATCCAAGATGCTATTGTTGCTGTTAAGGAAGTGTGAGCATTCTGAGAGATGCCCATGGATTGAAGGCCTCCTTTGGTTGCCACCTGGCATTATCATCTAGGGCAGACCATTAGTCATGAAAATGCTGGGATACATGGATGTTTTTCTGTCCCCATTGCTCCACCATAACTCTCCATTCCTATGATCCATTGTCTTAGACAATGTTAATTCCCCCATGTGCTCTCTTTGGTGAATGTCTGGTAAACCAGCTAGAAGCTATGACAGTATTTTAGCAGTAGAGTGTAGGGCGAAATCTGTTGTGTCTAAATCCCGTCTTTTGTTCTTGTACTAGCTTAACAAAATATCATGTGTGCTTCTGTGTCTGAAATGGTGCATGTGGGTGATGGGCAGTGGAGGCCAAAGTTCTCACACCCACTCTTGTTTGTCCCACATTTTATCTGACGGATCCCGCAACACACTCAACTTTGAACTGCCGGAACCACTGCAGGAGATTGGAATGGGTGAGCCACATGGCTTCCATGGAGGAGACTCCATGGGTAGGAAGGAAGGACAGGAAAATGTGATGAAGCAGTGGAAGAATTCTGTCTGTGACTTGACATTTCACACCTGCATCTTGACTACACATGTATGGCCATGAGTGAGCTGGAATGAAACCCTGTGAAGAATTCTGGACAAATGTTTATTTTTTGACCATCTGTTTTTTTGAACCTCTGGGCCAATTCTACTTGAGCACAGATAGCACTTGAGTTTCCTTTTTATGCAAAAGCCCATGTCAGTTGATCTTTTCCATCTTTGGATTTCAGTGCAATTAACTACTTTGGGGCTTCAGCTTATGACCAGCTTTTGACTACCCACATGCTGGAACGATAGAAAAGTGGCTTAAATTTTAGGAAGTGGTGCGTAGGTGGACTTGGGCTGCAAATGGTCAAAATTATAGAAATTGGGGCGGGGGGGAATGGATGTTGGAGAGATACCAAAGTTGCTTTGCTTCTTATTTATTGAAATCAATCTATAATTGTTCCTTTCTGGATATCATTTTTTTTTCAAATTCTATTAAAGACATACTGAGATTATGTGGCCCCTTTAGTTGTACAAATAATTCTTTCCTTTTATTTAAAAATGAGAATTCCACTGTGAAAAAGGTTTTGCAGTGTTTAAACACCTTTTTAATAACAGCCAGGATGGCATCAGTTTTAAGTGCTTAAGTTTTAAGTTTAACAGAGTGTCAATGGATCTGAACAATTTTAAGAGCTGGCAAATAATAATGTTATTAAAACAGGAACCCATATTAGAGGAAAGGAAGTGGGCAGTCTCATCCTTTCTTCTTTTAGAAACGGAGTAGTTTTGAATTGAGATAAGCTCTTTTAAGAATGCTGTAGAGTGAGCACAGAATGGGAGTTTTAAAATGACCAGTATGGTTTTTCTGCAATGCAATTTGTTTTTAGGAAAATGTTGGCATTAGTGACATGTTGGTATTAGCATTCAAATCTCTTGTCAGTTGTGCTGAACTAAGACCCCTGGAGACAAAAACTGAACATTTGCTGAAATAGTCCCACGTGATTTCTGTTCAGCCCCCCTAAAGCCATCTGAAAGTGATTTTGCTGGGCCAGAAAATGTATTTAGACTGTGGAAATTGTACCTGGAAGGGCTCAATGGAGGGATTTTGGTCCTTTCTGCAGCTCTCAAGGAGACTTCTGTGTCTTTAGTGTATTTTCAAAGCATACTATTTCCTCCCTTCTCAAAATGGCTAATCAGTTTAGCAACTGATCCTCAGTTTCTGTCAACTCCACCGGACGCTTCTGTACACCCCTCCCTTCGCCACACACAACGTATTCTCTTCAGAGTTCTATTTATGGGCAAATAAAGATCTGTTTATTTGTGTCAACAAAGAGCTGCGTGTCGATCTTTTGTACACCTCTTGAAAAACAAGGGCTATCTTTGGTTTGATAAGCTCACAGCCGCCCTCAGAGATAAGAGGAACCCCGAAGGGCTGAGAGAGACTCATTGCCCATGGTTGCAAAGTTATTTGCGTGGTCGAAAAGTCAAGATGGTGGCCATGATGATGTGAACGAAGACTTGCGCATAAAAAAGAGAGGCAATCCTTCAGTTGCATGGTTGTGGACCCATCTTGTTTTTGACTCCATCCTATGGGCACCCCTGAAGTGGGATCTGCAGCTGAGTGTTTTGCTGCATTTTTGATCAGAGGGACAACCACGTCCTATCGTAAGATCCTTCCATCTTATTCTTTTCCCCTAGTCTTCCATTTCTCCTTCTCAGCCAGCATTCCAAGTTTGTTGAGTACACGCAGTCCTAATACTGGGGAAATGGGAGGGGGTGCCTAGGTTTTCCTTCATTTTTTATTTTTTAGATTGCTGGAAATCTTTGGTTTCCCCCAGTGTTGCTGATACTTCTGTCTGTACGGATGGGGCTTTTTTGTCATCAGAAATCCTTTGTTAGGATCTAGCCAAGATAACTAAGATTTGCTCCCAGGATTTTCTTGAACCTCTAATTTCGATTGCTCAAGAGCCCTCTCTGGCTATGTGGCTAAAGTTTGGCTGTACAGTTTTCCACCACTTCAAGAGGGAAGCCCCTAAAATGTCCTAAAATAAATTTATCATATATACTCACATGGGTATGGGCCGACCCTCGAATTTTGAACCAAACTACCGTGAAAAATGCGCTCCCTGCAGATAAGCCGACCTTCAAAATTTTTGTATGTTTTAATTTTCACCATTAGCTTACCTGTGGAGAATCCACAGATTATCCATTTTTCATGGTATTTTGGTTAAAAATTTGAGGGTCGACTTCTCCCCAAGTGGGCATGTATCCAAGTATATAATGGGATATATGGATACTTTAAAAAAATATTACTGTATATACTCGCAGATAAACCGAACCCAATTTTGGGGGTCCATTTTGGCACCTAAAATTCTCAGCGTATTTATGAGTATATACGGTATCAGGATCTTTTTAAAATCACCTTAAAAAAGAAGAAGAAAAATGCAACGTTTCAAATCCTGGACGTTCCCAGTTTTTGGGGAATGAGCCTTCCCCACAAAATTGCTATGTCTCAGCTTCCAAAAGTTTCCTCAGTATATTTAGCATTTCAGTTATAATGCACATTTCCCCCCAGAGAAATGAAGATGGTACACCACAGTCTTCTCTTGCAATGCTTCTTCCAGACACGCTGCGACCATAACTCCCAGAATCCTTAACTAGAACATGTCCAGTGCAACCCATTCTCCAGCTGCCCTCCTCTTCCTTCATTTCCCAGGCTCAGGACAGCAATATTCTCTATCAGATTTGCTTCTACCTATAGAAAGCCCAAGGTCGTCGGTGCAAGTTGCAACCCAGGCTTCTTTCTACATGACCACGCTTGGGACACGTTTGCATCTTCCAAGCAGGTGGGTTTAAAAATTCAAGATCTACGCCTGGCAGAGCTGAAGGTTAGTATGAACAGCTTCTAAAACAGCGATATTGAAACCAGTGAAATGGTTTTCGATAAGAAGTTGGGAACATGGATATGAAAAGGTCTGAGTACTTCCTAGATAAGGGATCAGCTACAAAGCCCAGGTGGATGAGCTTGAGTTTCTCAGAACAAATGGATCCAGGAACTGTTAATGGTAACAGATATTCAGGTAGGGTAACTTGCCTTTTGGCTGAGTTCATCCAAAGCGCCACTTCCTGGTTTAGCTATCCCGATCAGGCGCTTTTCTACTGAGAAAAGCCAATGTTGCATGTAGCTCAATGATGTTGATGCTGATTTGCAGTATTGCTTAAGAGAGTCAAAGCAGAATTTCCCCAACCATACTTAGACTGGCTGGGGATTGAACTTTCAAGGCCTCTAGATGCAGCTCAGGGGGTCGGCCCTTGAACTAGCATCACCTTTCACTTGCTGATGAAGGTCGCTCCTTCTGAAGACTCAAGCCACAATGATGGTGTTAGGCCTACTAGTTTTGTCTTTGGGCATCAGTCCAATGCTGCCCTTGAAAATCTTTTTTCGTCATAGCTCTTCCTGTTCTGGGACAACTGAGGGTCTTGTGACATGAACCGGTTCTGCTTCTTGGATTTTGCAGATTCAGAATAGCCTTGCTCATAGTCACTCTAACTCTCTTATAATAGGATTATAATCTATTGATCTATAATCTGTAATCTACCTTTTCATGCCAAGCTTAACCAACTTTTCAATTGCTAGCTTTATACAAAGTTCAGATTCCCTTCCTTCCAAACCAGTTTTAACAACAGTTTGTAATTTTTAACAGATCAAATGTATAATACCTACATGAGTCAAGCACATTTCTGGTTTATCCTGCTTGTTGGCTATCTTCCCAAAACATCTGTAGATGCAGCAGAAGAATTCTCAGTCTTTATAAGGGCCATGGCAGGGTCCTCTTTCATTCCAGTTGGAGGTCTGAATGTTATTGACATGGGGGAGCTGTAATTCCTTATTTTGGCGCAGTCATGCTACAGTCTGTCAACTATAAGAAAATACATGGCCACCCTCCCTGCCAAAATCATCCAGTCCAAAGGTTTATGTTTTATGCACATCTGTGGCCTCAGGGTGCACTGAGATGGTCAACCTATATTATGTCAAACTAGATGAGGGATCTTATGGGGGAATATTCTTGCTAATGTAATTACTGAGAAATTTAGCAAGCACTAAGGAAGGAATTTAAGCCAGATCTCTTAACAAGCTGAAGTTCTAGAAGCAAAGTTTAAGGAGAACAAGAGACCCCACCCCCATTACAGAGAGACATGAGTTGTCCATCTTGGTGCAGATTTGACCATCGTATAACAATCTAATCCTACGTTGCGATTTTTTCCCCTCCTTTGCATCTAAATCACCCACATGCCTTTGGTATAAGTGCAATTTAAGGCTGCAGAGAACACTGCGTAGATAACAGGGGTTAACTCAAAATAAAAGCAGAGGAAAAGTATCAAGGGACCGTGAAGCAGAAAGACATCTGTTGCTTTATCCCTGTCATTTGAAAATTTTAAATAAACACACTCCAGCCCAATCTCTCGGATGACCCGTCTGGAAAGATGTTTCAGGCTAATGTTCAGTGTGAATTGATCTTTCTTCTGTGCCTGACATTATGCCTGGGCAAACAAATATATGGAACCCTTTACATAGAAATGCATTCCTTAATTCACCATGCTCGCTTAGAGGATGGTGTAAGAGCTCCTCCTGCCCCATTGATCGGTTTCTTCTCATCTTATGAAATCTCACTATCAATTGTGATACTCCGGGAGGTTGTGATTTATAATTTTTTTCTGAACGTACTCATATTTCCGAGGTTCTTAATTTAGCTCTTCATACCCAAATGATTATATTTTATTAATATGCTATTGTTTACATCTTATTTCTTTTTAATATTTTATTCCCCTTGTAGGATCTGAAGGATGGTACTTAAACTCTTTTTATGCCCTTCATGTATCTATTTTACCTTTTCATTTGGCTCTTAATTGCCTTAGTACTTAATCGTTTTAGATTTGCAGAAAACATTGGTCAATGACTGTAGGAAACCTGAACTTATGAGGGAGAAAATGGGAAAAGGGGGTGCTATGTATGCTGTATTTTGCTACTGGAGGAACGACAAAACGTCAGTCGAATGAAGAAAGGAAATAAATATCAATCCAATGTTTTCAAAACCCAGTCTTATAAGTCGCTAACTAGCTTCTTTCAGAATGTATTTGTAAGCACCTGGTGGACTTGTAAAAAAGCCAGAAAATTTTGGGTTCAAATACATACACTGATATAAAGAATTTTAAAGATTAAGATTCAACTGAAACCAGAACTTGAACTAGCAGAGATGGCAAAATCAACTTGTTTACTTAGAGAAAGATCAATTATATTTATTAGTGAGTGGAAACCCCTTATGGACTTTTTGCTGAAAAAAGAAAAAAATGAATTTTTGATTTATGGGTTTGACAATTAGACAATTAGCTGCTTCTTTATAATCCCTTCCTTCCTTCCTTCCTTCCTTCCTTCCTTCCTTCCTTCCTTCCTTCCTTCC